TTGACTAGGCTCTTGCGCCGCAGATGAATCTGGGAGAAAAACCAGTAACTAGCACTGCAGGTAAAAGATTCTAGCGCGTTTAGGCCTGGATCTCGCTTTAGCGCCGCGAATAAAAAAGGTGCTTGCCCTGGGCCCTCGCGCCGCAGAGCTCAGTCCTCGGAACCAGTACTAGCGCTGCAGGCAAGATTCTAGCGCGAGGTTTAGGCCTGGCTCTCGCTTTAGCGCCGCAGGTGGCGAAAGGTCCTTGGACCAGGCTCTCCCCCCCCCGTGAGATAAAGTGGCTCCTTGACTCGCACATTCTTGCGCTGCAGGCTAAAAGAAGGTATTCGAATTCATCGTTCCTAGACGGGGTCCAGTGGAAAGGAGCCATTGACGGCTTTTTCCCACTGGTTTACTATATAGTAGGAATTAAATTAATCACTTCGGTTAATTTAATTTCTACGTTAAAATTAATTTTAAATATTTGACTACAATAATAACACTAAATTTCCAGGTCGCATCCCTGGATCTGCTCCCACACGTTCCGCACGGATTCCTCAATTTCACGCTAATGTCCCCCGAATGCCGGGATGGGGCCAAAGTTTGTCTGGCCAGGATTCGACAGGCACTCGGCATCACGGATACACATTCCGGGTAGACTATAGACTGCAATTCGCAAGGCTACAGACTACAACTCTAAGGCTAAAAAGAGTCTTTTTAAAAAAGGACTTTTGGTTTCGCAAAGAGAGGAATTCTCGATGGCAACAAAAGAGCTAAATTCCTTTCAAACTCTTAAAAATGCCACAGAATGCGGGAACAACAAAAAGTTGCTGGCTATTTAAAACCTTAATAAACTCGGTACCATCCCAGATCACAGGTCAGGTCTGCAGATTAATTTCAAGAAAGTGCAAATAGATCATAACAGAAATTATTTGCAAGCCGAAACCGCTAAGAAACTAGATCTGTCCATTTTAATAAGGTGCCAGCAACTTTTGGTTGATCCCACATTTTGTGGCATTTTTAAGAGTTCGAAAGGAGCCTAGCTCTTTGTTGCCACGAGAATCCTCTCTTTACCGAAAACCTAAAGCCCTCTTTAAAAGACTCTTTTAGCCTTATAGAGAGCCTAGCCCTTTTTGCCTCAATCTTATTGTTAAGATCGTAAAATAAGCCAAGGGATACTCATTCAGATGAACCCTTGTACGCACAACTTCAAAAATTTGCCTGCGGCGCTTTGGCGACGGTGCTAAAACCTTAACGATGCATTCGGGCCAATCGGCAAAAACGATGTTGCGGGCGGGGTTCGAACTTCGGGAGCCAAGTCTTCCCAGTACAGCGTGCTAACTAACCACTAGGCCAACAGGGAGACTGGGAGGCCTGTCTTGGGGAAGCTAGACCCGCCCGCCCTGGATCGGGACTGGGGCCTCCAAAGGGGGAGAGTGGCGCCCCGTATGGCGAAGTTTAAAGTTATAATATCTCAGAGAAGAAGCATTCTTTTAGTTGCAATTTCTTCTTTTACTTATTCCAGCATGGTCTAATGTATATTTGAGCAAAATTCTCAGCCCAAACGGACATCACTAACCATTGTTTGACCGCAATTTAAGCTTCTAAACTTAAAAATTAAATATAAATTTTTAAAAGCCTATTTTGAAAAAACACTTCTTGCGGTCCGAGATTATCAGTCACCCAACAACTGTGCAAAATTTCAGCCCAAACGGATGGTGGGAAGGCACTTTTGACGACTACAAGGTTTTGCGTACAAACATACAGACATACAAACGCAGAACCCCCTCGAAACGCAACTTAAATCGGCTGTTTAAATTCGGAAATTTCACTCTTTTTCAATTCTTAAAAGCTTATAGTATGTAAAAAGTGTCGCCGGTTCCGATGGTGTGTATTCAGTTTTGGGATCCGATGCTTGGTTCTTTTTAAATCCGGAAAAGGGACCCAAAAGAGTCGTATGGGGGTACCTCAAACCAAAAGGGTACTAGCGGGCTACGCCACGGCTAACCCCGAATAAAAATTGCGAATATTTTGTAGTATTTTCAAGGAAAGCCCTAAAAAAACCACCTTATCTTTTAGTAGCTTGTAGTCCAAATTGGATTATTCGATTTGCCAATTTTGTCAACTCTATTTGTTGCCATATTTACCGTACGCACCCGCCCAGTTTGTATGGATTTTTGACGGCAAAACGGGAAATTTTCTGTCTAATATTCGCCTTGTAATTTTAATCTTTTAAGCCGGTCTTTCGCTCTGTAACCCATCTTTTTTTTTCTGATTGTCCAGCAGTCAAAACGTTGCGGGCTGTGGAATTCACTTTTTTTGTATAATTTTGAATTAACTGTATTTATGAAATGTATATAGACATTATAACCTTATTATGATCATTGGTTTGCGCCTCAGATGCATTGACAATAAAAGCTTTAAATTACTTGGATTTTACTACAGCAAATATCGCCTGGTACAAACTACAAACTACAGACAACAAGCATTAAAAGGTTTCTCTGCATAAAAATGAGGCCAGGGAAGCTTAGGGCCATTTTGAGACTTTTAGCGCCTGAAATTCCACACAGAAAGCTATGATGAAATTCGAAAAATCGGTTTCTTATAGAAAAATCGGTTTTTACACCAATTATCCTAATTCTTTTAACGAAAACCCTCCAAAAAAATAGTGATAAATTCCAAAGCAAACAAATCTCGTTAGGTTTCGGCGAGTAAATCGCTACAAGAACAACCTTGTTAGTTAATAGCTTCAATTCTAATTCGTTGATTTCGTTTCATTCAATCATTTTCCGGGAAGAAAATGCTAACTTTGACAGTAACCCGGTCGATTTTCTCAGAAATAAGCTAAAAAATCTCTGAAATCTATTACGGTAAAATTTACGACTTTTCTTGCGTAGGAAAAATATGTGTAGAGTAGCTTAATTTTCGAAAAATCACAAAGTTAATCAATTCAATGCCGAATCGCTGAATATCGTCCCGATCGGCCAGGAATAGTTTTTGGTTTCTCTCTGGTCTCTCTTGTCTTTCCAGCCACTCTCGTCCCCAACCCGGGGTCCCGCCGCGATTCCCCTGCACGCAAGCGCCCATGATTGATCGGCCGTGGGAATAAAGACCAACTATCAACGAGTGAGGGGTACTCTCTCGTCTCATCCGCTTTTCCCCTCGGCCCGGGCCAACATAGAGTTTGTGAAGTGCTCACGTTTCACAACTTGAAAATACCATTTGTGGCATTATTTCGCTGAAATTGCGTAGAAAACCATCTGCCGTCTGTTACTGAATGCTGACCTCGACTGGATCTTCCGCCGTTTTCTTCTGTTCTCGCGATTTCTTTTGAAAATTTTGGGGTTGATTCAATGTTACTTTACCCTACCCAAAAACGTTTTTGACTGTGCAGTTGTTGACTAGACATCAGAAACTACTTGATCGTACAAAATTGGCTTTTTTACAAAGGGTAACGCTCTTTTTATTAGTAAAAACGATGACAAGTTACTTTTTAGCCGCTTTCTAGTGATTTGCCATATGTGGTAGTGTTTAAAAGGCCGTTCGCGAGAGACCCGAACTGGCTTGGTACAGTTTTTTTCGACCCTGTTTTTTTGCCGCCATCTGAAAGTGCATGGTCGAATTAGTAGGGCCGCACTATTTTGAGAATTTTAGAAAGTCATTTTCGGGGTTTAAATGGCCACTAAAGTTGCATTGCCTCAAGAATTTATCTCGAAAACCACACGGCCGATCTTGCTGAAAATTTTTCTCAATGCCTAATTTGGGATGGGGATCATTTCTCTAATACATTGGGAAGCACGAAAATGGCAGGAACATAGGTATATTGCGTACCATAAACAGTTTTTGAGGGTTTTCTACTACAAGGCGGGTCCGGCGCATCTTGAAACTAGCATAGAAAGATGCACCGGAAAATTCTGCGTCGAATGATGTGCTTTCCAAGATGCGCCCAACTCGCCTCTAGCCGCTGTACCGAGGTTTCGACGTCGAAAACCATCAAAATTGACGTTTTTTGGGAGGATTCCCGGGGCAGGTCAACGAGAGAGTGCGGAAGGCGTAGAGAGTCGAGACAGGCAGACAACAGCCCTGGGGGAGCGAGTCGGGTGCTGCCAGAGAGCCCCCAACTTGACCACCCTAGCCGTCTCTGCCCTCTCCCCCTCTCGCACTATCTCGCATAGCCCTGCCCAGAAATCCCCCAAAAAGCGTCAATTTTGATGGTTTTCGACGTCGAAACACCGGTGCAGCGGCTAGAGGCGAGTTGGGCGCATCTTGGAAAGCACATCATTCTACGCAGAATTTTCCGGTGCATCTTTCTATTCTAGTTTCAAGATGCGCCGGACCCGCCTTGTAGTAGAAAACCCTCAAAAACTGTTTATAGTACGCAATATCCCTATGTTCCTGCCATTTTCGTGCTTCCCAATGTATTAGAGAAATGATAGCCATCCCAAATTAGGCATTGACAAAAATTTTCAGCAAGATCGGCCGTGTGGTTTTCGAGATAAATTTTTGAGGTACGCAACTTTAGCGGCCATTTAAACCCCGAAAATGACTTTTTAAAATTCTCAAAATAGTGCGGCCCTACTAATTCGACCATGCTCTTTCAGATGGCGTCGAGAAAACAGGGTCGAAAAAAACTGTACCAAGCCATCATGGGGGCAGTTCGGGTCTCTCGCAAACGGCCTTTTAATTAAACCGGCTCTGAAACGGAAACAGTGATTTTCCGCTTGTTTAGAAGCCTAGAGAGTTTTTCAGCCGATTTTTGATTTTCTGGTAGATCGATCGATCCTATTTCCGGCCAAAGATCACTCACCTTTATTTTTCCGTTGTTCTGTTACGGGTTGATAGATAGCTACTTTTTGAAGCCTGAAAGTTCAATTCGAACGCAACGTACAAAACTTTTTTAGACTAGGTTTTATCTGGTTTTACGCCCTTGGGCGGCTCACTCTGGACTTATTCGGCGCTTTTTCCATATTCCTCGATGTATCCTCATTTTTCATTGCTTTACCCTCAACTTTCCAGGTAAAATGGCCGCAGTGGACGTGAACCAGGGCATCACCGGCCACAAGACGGCCACCATTCGCAACTACAACACTCAGCCGCGTCTGAGTACGTTTTGAAAAGCCCTTTATTTTCCCGATTCCCGTTCTCTCCCTTCCTCAAACCATCCATTTTTTAGTCTACAAGACCGTGGTTGGTGTGAACGGTCCGCTCGTCATCCTCAACGACGTCAAGTTCCCGCAGTTCAACGAGATTGTCAACATCACCCTCCCCGATGGCACCAAGCGCTCCGGCCAGGTGCTCGAGATCACCCGCAACAAGGCCGTCGTCCAGGTTTGAGTTTTTTTGGTTTATTTTTTTATCATAAAATTAGGTCTTCGAGGGAACGTCCGGAATTGACGCCAAGAACACCATCTGCGAGTTCACCGGCGACATTTTGCGCACGCCCGTCTCGGAGGACATGTTGGGCCGTATCTTCAACGGATCCGGAAAGCCCATTGACAAAGTGAGCATCTTTCTGAGACGTTGAGAACGAATTCTGTGTTTTAGAAGGTGAAAAATCGCGAAATTAGCTGTTTTCTCGTAAATTTTGGCTTTTCTAGGGGCCGCCCGTCCTTGCCGAGGACTTCTTGGACATCAACGGCCAGCCGATCAACCCGTGGTCCCGTATCTACCCCGAGGAGATGATCCAGACCGGAATCTCGGCCATCGACGTCATGAACTCCATCGCCCGTGGGCAGAAGATCCCCATCTTCTCCGCCGCCGGTCTGCCCCACAACGAAATTGCCGCCCAGATTGTGCGACAGGGAGGTAAGGGAATTGTCTAATTTTTTCTGGATTTTGCAAAATGCGATAGCTGATTTCTCGTCATCAGCGAGTTTTTAACTATTTTTAAAGAAAATTCACAGGTTTAAAAAACTTTATTTCAGCGAAAATGGGCCGATTTTGAGCGAATTTCTTGTTGTTCTTAAATCTTGTTCTATTTCGTTTCGTTTGATTTTTCATTGAAATGCAGCTAATTTTTCTGAAATTGTGGGTAAAAGCCGGTTTTCACGGATCAAAAAAAGGAAAAAGAATTTTGTTAAAAAATTACTTCAGATTTAAAATGCGCACCAAAACCCTCTTTTCTAGGTCTCGTCAAGCTGCCCGCCTCGGAGCGCAAGCACGGCACCGGCGAGGACGCCAACTTCGCCATCGTGTTCGCCGCTATGGGTGTGAACATGGAGACTGCCCGCTTCTTCAAGCAGGATTTCGAGGAGAACGGTTGGAGAAATCCCTCGAGATTTTACGAGTTTCTTTAGGTTCGATGGAAAACGTGTGCCTGTTCCTGAACTTGGCCAACGACCCGACCATCGAGCGTATCATCACCCCGCGTCTCGCCCTCACCGCCGCCGAGTTTTTCGCCTACCAATGCGAGAAGCACGTGCTCGTCGTGTTGACCGACATGTCCTCGTACGCTGAGGCTCTGCGTGAGGTCCGTATACTGGAGACTGACGTGCAGTTGACACATACTTTTCTGCCTCGGTCCTCGAGCCGTTCAAATTTGCGACATTTCTGTTGGCATTTTGTCACACGAAAAATGGAATTGAAATTTCTTTCTTTGATGAAACTTGTGTTTTTCGCGGTTTTTCAGGTGTCGCCGTTTTCCGGTCTTTCGTTTTTAGTTCTAAGACAGTTTATTTAATCTAGGTCATATAGTTAAATTTTCTATATGGAAATTTTTGGCTTTATTCACCGTCAAAGCGTGTTTCGAAGCCCTAAATTTTGTAAAACGGGAGTTTTGTATGTTTTAGGCCTTTCCACAGGTTTTTCTCAGTCTTTCAGCCATTTGAAGTTTAGGTTTTAAATCCAAATTGATCCACCGTTTTATTTCGTCCAAAAACCGTGTTGAAAGTCCTAACGAAGTGAAATCCGATTTTTTTTGATTTAGGACTTTTGAATCGTTTTACTTGAATTCTGATTTCCGAATTTTATCAAAGCGGCGTTTTTGCAAATTTTCAGCGTTGCCTTTGACTTTTATTTATTTTACGAATCCTATCTTTCCAGGTGTCTGCCGCCCGTGAAGAGGTGCCCGGTCGTCGTGGTTTCCCCGGATACATGTACACCGATTTGGCCACCATCTACGAGCGTGCCGGTCGTGTCGAGGGTCGTGACGGTTCGATCACCCAGATTCCCATCCTTACTATGCCCAACGACGGTAATTTTTAGTCGTATTTTTGAATTTTATCTTTTTTTTCAGACATCACTCACCCTATCCCCGATCTGACGGGATACATTACGGAGGGACAGATCTACGTCGATCGTCAGTTGCACAACAGACAGGTATCGCATTACGTTACAATATCTAATTCCCTTTTTCCAGATCTACCCACCAATCAACGTGCTCCCCTCGCTGTCGCGTCTCATGAAGTCGGCTATTGGAGAGGGCATGACCCGAGAAGTGTGTTTTTCTTGCTCGATTCTGTTATTCTCGTTTTATTAGTCTTTTTGGCAGTATTGAAATTGATTTTCGGAGGAGATTAAATCACATTTTTATCTATATTTTTCCAGGACCACTCGGACGTCTCGAACCAGCTGTACGCTTGCTACGCCATCGGCAAGGACGTGCAGGCGATGAAGGCCGTCGTCGGAGAGGAAGCCCTGTCGGCTGACGATCTCCTCTACCTCGAGTTCCTCATCAAGTTTGAGAAGAACTTCATCGCCCAAGGTAGCGATTGAATTTCAGCGATTGTTGTAGAGTTGCCGCCATGCTTTCTTTGCCATTGTAAACGGCTGGGAGGTCTGAAAATCGACCCCTGAATCTGCTAGTTCTCGACGGCTACGCTGTACACTAATGACGCATTATGCTGGGCCCTTCGGCATAAAACAAAGGATTGGCGTCATTTTATGTGAAGCGTAGTTGTCGAGGCCCAGTTTTCAGGGGTCGAATTTGGGGCCTTCCTGCCTCTTTAAAAGACCATTTGCGGGCGTCATTTGGCGTGCAGCGTAGTTTTCAGCGTGTTGCTTCTGGAGCTTTCCTTCCCTTTCAAACCAGGGTTTTTGCAGTCCTATTTGAGCTTTGAGCAAACTGGACTTTTAAGCAAAGCTCGCTAAGCTTCCAGGCGTCATTTGGCGCGTCACGTCATTTTCTAGGTCTGGTGTTTGGGGTAGGTTTCAAGGCCTTCCACGCTAGCTGATTTCCAGTCGTGATTGGGCGTGGCGCGTAGTTTTCTATGCTTATTTTTCCGCAGGCGGTTGATTTTGAAGCCTTCCAGCCCCTCTAAAATTGTTGTCCACGAAATTTTTCTACGATAAAATAATTTTCTGGCTTTTCCAGGCAACTACGAGAACCGGACAGTGTTCGACTCGCTGGACATTGGCTGGCAACTGCTGCGCATCTTCCCCCGCGAGATGCTGAAGCGTATCCCCGAGTCGACGCTCGACAAGTACTACCCACGTGGAGGAGCCGGAGGAGATAAGCAGTAAAAAAGCCTCTTTTTCTCTGCACCCTCTCTGTCTCTCACAATCTCTCGCCACCACTCCCTCAAAATTCGATCCGTTTTCTCCATCTCGAACCCCCACTTGCCCCTCTATTCCGTGATTACTGTAGGTTGTAGCTTTGTGTATAGTTGTGAATCGTACCCCCGGAATTTTATGTCGTAATCAATTACCCCCAGCCTGCACACCCGAGATAGCTTGTCACTGACAATTTGTGATATCCAGTTTTTGGCTATGGAATTCCCGCGCGGATTTTGATACATTCCTGATAATCTATCCATCTAAATTTTGTATTATTACCGTTTCCCAGCTCGACCACATTTTTTTGTTATTCTTTTTCCTCTTTTTTTGTATTGTTCCTGTAGACTGTAGATGTGTGAGTGTATAAGTTAAAATGAAAGAGAGAATAAAGTTTTACAATTAGTATCGTTTGGAATTTGCTTGGCAGCGGAAAATGGCTCATATAGTTAATTTAGGCAATTTTCTACGCTGAGGCGAAAGATTTAAGGGTGAATTAGGTTTTCTAAGAGTTTCAATATTTCCGGCATTGCCAATCATTATTTAGCATTCAATATACGCTGTTTTGCAGCATCAATTATGCGATAATTGATCAGATTTGACGGAGCAACAAGTCGGCTTCTCTAATAGCCACCCGGCCATTCCTGGTAAATCCGAGAACGTGTCGGCCCTTTTTCCGGGGTCTGGCTCGAACACTCTCGAGGCGGGCAAGAAAGGAAAAACGTTTTTCATAAATATGTAAAAATCGCTTTTAGAATTTTCGAGGAGGGGCTGGGTCAGAAAAGAAATGAAGCGAGTGCCCCTGGTTGTATTGCCCCCGTGGGCAGCGTCCCCGTCTCCATAGCAAATAACAAAAAAAATAATAGCATTCCAATCACGCATCGGTAAGGTTTAGTAATTCCAAGAGCACGGTGCAAAATGGGATACGTACACGAAATGTCGAACCCACGAAACGTAAGCAAGATGACCAACACTTTTTCCCTCTACATTATGAAAGCGTATTTTGCATATTTATGTGAGTTTGAACTTGTGTTTTGATTTAGTCATTTGCATCACGCGGAAAGGGGAAACAGGAGAGTTAATCCATTACATTCCGCTTCAACAGATGACGAAGCCGCTGCGGATCCGGGTAATTACCCGTTCGCACGTCCGACCCTCGGGCAAACGGTGGGTTAGGCTGGGGGGTAAGAGTCTAGGAACCACCCCCCCCCAGCCGTAACTTTTCAGCCATACGTCCTATTAATGCGTGGAGTATCTCAAAATGTTCGCCGTGGTCGAATTCCTATAGAAAAGTCGTTGCCATACATCAAAAATTGTTAGAAAATTTTTTACAAGATTTTGAAATGTGAAAATTTTAAGTCGCGATGCCTCAATATACTAAGCGTTTAAAACTCAATTATTTTCTTTGTTCGCTATTTTTTCGATTGAAATGTACTGTAGCCTTATTCTACAGAGCAAGAGCTAAATTTGACACTATTGACAGCTCTGTAGGACAAAAGATAGCCAAGATACGAAAACTCACTTTAGACGAGGAAAAATTAATTAAAGAAAACACAGACTTATAATTGTTATAAAAAATTTTCTAGCAATTTTCGGTGTTTGGAAACAACTTTTCGACAGTAATTCGACCACGGCGAACATTTTGAGATACTCGGCGCATTAATAGGACGCATGGCTGAAAAGTTGTGGCTGGGGGGGGGGGGTTTCCTAGACTTGCGCCGGCTGGGGAATTGGACCGGGCAGAGGGTGAACAACTGGTCTTTCCGTGCGTTAGCGGTGTTAGAGTCTGGAGTGTGAGTTGGTTGTTTTTGAGTCGTCCAAGGACGTCGCACAAGTATCTAATCTGGGGTTTGAACTCATTTTAAATTGTTCAGACCGACGGCGATCGACGTCTACGTCAAGTTTACCGGCGATCTGCCGGCGCTGTTAAACTTGGCAATGTGCTTTTCCTCGGGAAACGACCACGCCTACGTGAAGATGGAAGCTGCCAACTATCTCGGAGTAAGCTTTGGTGTATTTGAGCGAGTCCGAAAAAATTCGACAACTTAGTTTGTTGGCAGTAAAGGTAGCGAAAATTTTTTATTCGTTTGCATTTGTAAAACTCTCCAGACTCATTGCAAAGCAATGTTTTTAAAACAAAGTTTGCCTTTTTCGAGATTTTCGAGATTTTTTCGCGATTTTTGCAACTGCATTCGATGGCGTATCCAAAAATATGCAAAGAATTTTGTGTTGGAGCTCAGTATATTGTAATACAAAAAGCTAGATCGATATCGGACAGAGATCGGATGATATCCTGGTTTTCGACATTTCCGCTTTTTTCGACAGTTTAAAACGCCGTTAGCGAGCCACCCTAGCTAGGCTTGGCACAGTTTTTTCGTCCCGGCTTTTCTGACGCCATCGGATAGAGCATAGTCAAATTAGTGGGGCTGCATAGTTTGAAAGTTTAAAGAGTTTAATTTGGGGGTTTAAATGGGCGTTAAAGTTGCAGACCCCCAAAAATTATCTTGGAAGTTACTTAACCGAATTTGCTGAAATTTTTTGCCAATACCTAATTTTGGACGGGGATCATTTCTCTAATACCTTGCAAAGCGTGAAAATGGCCGGAACATGGGAATATCGCGTACATAACACAGTTTTTGGGGGATTTTCGTTGTGAAGGGGAGTTGACTGCGCGCTGTAAATAGCATAGAAAGATGCGCAAAAACTTTCTGCATCGAATGGTGTATTATTTAGCGCGCAGACAGTAACCCTTCATATTCAAAAAACGCGATTTCTAAACTGGAGAAAAACTGGCACGTACTCCCGAGGTTTGCATATTTTGAAAAATCGGAGACGGGTATAGGGTCTAAAGATCAAACTGTATCCATTGCCAAAAAGAGCAAAAAAGAAACTCCTTCCCACTCGGAACTGGCGATTTGCGGGGATCGAACCCGCGATGGTCCGCCTGGGGGGCGCTGGGGACAGCCGCTAGTGGGCGCCGTCACCTCCCAGGCGAACGACCCGAGTTCAATCCCAGCCCCCTTTCAAAATCAAATTTCTTTTTGCTCTTTTGTGCGATCGTGCGGTTGGACCCTCTAGATGGTCGTCCATTTCTTATTTTTCATAAATATTCGAATTTTCTCTTTTTGGCACCTTTTAAGCCCTTTTTCAAGATGAAGGGTTACTGTCTGCGCGCTAAATAATACACCATTCGATGCAGAAAGTTTTTGCGCATCTTTCTATGCTATTTACAGCGCGCAGTCAACAGCTCTTCACGACGAAAATCCCCCAAAAACTGTTTTATATAGGCGATATTTCTACGTTCCGGCCATTTTCACCCTTTGCAAGGTATTAGAGAAATGATCCCCGTCCAAAATTAGGTATTGGCAAAAAATTTCAGCAAATTTGGTTAAGTAACTTCCAAGATAATTTTTGGGGGTCTGCAACTTTAACGCCCATTTAAACCCCCAAATTAAACTCTTTAAACTTTCAAACTATGCAGCCCCACTAATTTGACTATGCTCTACCCGATGGCGTAAAAAAAACCGGGACGAAAAAAACTGTGCCAAGCGATATTGGGGCCTGTTCGGGTGACTCGCGGACGGCCTTTTAAAGTCGCGATTAGATAGAGCAGCCGGATAACACATTTAATTTAAAACGAATAGCAAAAACAACCCCAAAAAGGGGTTAAAGAGAAACATTGAAAGCTAGTTTTCGACATTGGCTGGTTAGAGTGCAGTTTACCCCCCCAGCCGGCGCCCAGCTTTTAGTATCTCGGCCTCCTGTTAGTCTACAGGCGGGTGAAGTATATCAACATGTTCGCCTTGCACTGGCGAGTATTTTGCAATACTTGACTGCCCGGTATCATAACGTGGAGCCGAGATACGGTAGGTGGGGCCGGCTTTTTATACACCTTTTGTTTTTTTGTTGTTGATATATTGAGGGGTTTATATTATTTGAAGTATTTTTGGATTGCTAGGTTGTTATAAAAACAGATTTTTCAAAAATTTGAAAACACCATACCTTTTTTGTCATTTGGCTTAAAAGTTTCTGACGGAAAAGTCAAGAAAAGGTTTTCGAAAGATTATGGCTTTGTATATTGTTTGTATCTCTAAAAACCAGGTAAGAAGCTAGAAAAAGTTAAGACTTTGTTATAAGGCCGTAGGATCACTGTGAAAATTTGGTGTGTCCCGCCCCTCCCCACCCCCCCCCCGCAAATAGTCCAGAACCGAAAACAGTGCTTGAACGCAGTGTGACTTTTTGGATTTTTGGATTTTTGATTTCAGGAGCACGTCGTCCCGCTCGAGGTCCCGAAAACCGCCGGCGAATACAACATGGAGTTCGCCCTCACATCCGAATGGCGACCAATTTGTTCCTGGGTCTCAGACCCTATCCAAGTATGTTTCTTTCAATGGTTTTTTACCGCCCCCAACACCCACCAAAGCGCTGCTGATAGACCAAAATAAATGTTTTTATTACAGGTGAACATGACGGACGAGATTCGGCCAGTCCACACCACCGCGGCCTATACCTTCGAGTACGGACGGAATAGCTGGTTGTCGGTGGGCGACGGGCGCCTTCTCCTTAAGGACGAATCCACCCCTTTTGCCATCGAAGCAGGTTTGTAATAATCGACGCGGTTCTTTAGGATTCGGGGGCGGGGGGGATAACTATTTGGGATGGGATTTTATCAATAGGGGATGTGTTTCTACATTTTTTAATAATTCCTGAGCATGAAAAATTTTTACGAATACTACTTAAAAATCTAAGGTTAAGTCGGAAAATTGATTTTTCCGAGCCAAAATGCCCAAAATTCCCACGTTTGTGAAAGTTTTCTGCTGAAATATAGCTAAAACTTACAAAAAACCAAGTAAAATCTTTGTATTTTATTACTTTATGATATTTTAACTAGAGAAACTTTGCAAAAACTTTGAAAAACCATTTTTAAGGTCGACATTTTGGTTAAAAACGCCCCTCTTAGGTGCAATTTTTCAAAAGACATTTGTGAAGGTTTTACGCCTAGGAATAGTAAAAAACAGTTTGGGGACACTTGTAGCTACTTATATTGAAAATTTCTCTCCCCCCCGCGACCAATAATGCGAATTATTATTTAAAAGGACCCTTTTCCAGTGACCAGGAACAAATTCCTCTACGGACGGGATAGCGTTCAGCTGCAGGCCCGCCAGCTACCTGTCAACAATGTGCAACTGAAGCAGGAGTTGGTCGGTGTCTGGATGGCGGGCTGAATCGGAATGTTACGCGGACCTGGTTTACTTGGGAGTACCGAACTAGAAAAAGCTGCGTCTTTGCCCTTCCCGTTCCATCTTCCAATCCTCAAAGTTTTCCCCACACTAATGACTGACTGTAAAGTGATTTTACGCGACTTGGAGTTTAGTTTCGGGACCAAGTGCACCATGTGCTAAATTTTTCGCTGATTCCGAACCTCCTTTCCACTTTTCCCTGAGCCGTTCAGCCGGTCGCAGATCCTTTTCTATCCGAATACTTTTTCCCTTAGTAATTACCACGGTTCTGTTAGCGGGGATTAGTGTGACAAATCTTTGGACTGTACCGGGGAGAGCGGGTGGGGGACATTCCCGCCAGCAACATTTCCACCCATTTAGTTCAAAAACATATAAAACCGCTAAATAAATTATTTTCTTTGTTTTTTTCGGTATGGATAAATTCAATGAACTTAGGTAAAGAAAGAAGCGAGTAGAGAAGAAATTACGATTCGGGATGACTGTTTTGGGCAACATATAGCCCTTTTTCGGTCGCAAAATCTGATTTATTGATTCAAGAAAAAGCCATCATCATAACTTGGTTATTTCTTCTGTATCATCTGGCTAGATCCCGGCGAGAACAAAATGTTAGGACTATAACAAGCATGGAACAGCGCATTTTACAAGCATTTTGGCCGTTGGCGTAAATGCCATGGTCCTGGTGGATGTTTTTGACCTCAAATTGGCGCTAATGTCGCTGGCGGAAATGTAATGGTCTCGCCCAAAGTTTTACCAACCATGGGGGAGCCATAAACACTATGTGCAGCCGAACTGTCAAAGTAAAATATTGTTAAACAGGAAAAGTGAGGCAAAATTACGGGTGTTTTTTTTCATGCCACCCTGATTTCGATGCAGTTCGATCTCGAAATCTTTCGCGAATTTTTTGAGTTCAGCTAGCATAATTTAAATAGCGGTTTTAAAAGGCCGTTTGGCGAGGGGCGCGACCACGGCTTGGCACAGTTTTTTCGACCCTGTTTTTTGCGAAGCTCGAAAATGACCGGAACATAGGTGTACCGCGTACACAAATTCGTTTTTCCGGAATTGCCGGAGCCTGCCGTTCGAGCGGACGATGAGACGATCATAGAAAGATGCGCAATAAAATTCTGCATCGATTGATGTATCGCTCATGACCCGCCCGTTCGGCAGGAAATTGCTATAAAGCATTTACTGCGCCGAAAACCGTCCGAAAAAGCTCAAAAAGTCGAAAACAGGTCTATTCGGAAAATGTGAAGTATCAAAACACATCTAGAGCTCGAGCTGAAGCCATTGCAAAAAAGAGCAAAAAGAAATTCGCCTTCTGAGAGGGGGCCGGAATTGAACTGGCGCGAGCTCTGGATTGGTACGCCGACACACCTGCAATCCACCACGCCAGGCGGGCGGATGGTCCGGGTCCGATTCCTGCCCGAAACAAGCATCTTCTCAGAAGGCGAATTTCTTTTTGCTCTTTTTTGCAATGGCTTCAGCTCGAGCTCTAGATGTGTTTTGATACTTCACATTTTCAGAATAGACCTGTTTTCGACTTTTTGAGCTTTTTTCGGACGGTTTTCGGCGCAGTAAATGCTTTATAGCAATTTCCTGCCGAACGGGCGGGTCATGAGCGATACATCAATCGATGCAGAATTTTATTGCGCATCTTTCTATGTTAGTCTCATTGTCCGCTCGAACGGCAGGCTCCGGCAATTCCGGAAAAACGAATTTGTGTACGCGGTACACCTATGTTTCGGTCATTTTCGAGCTTCGCAATGTATTAGAGATATGATCCGTGCCCAGAATCAGGCCCAGTCACAAATTTTTTGCTGTGGGCAACTTTAGCGCCCCGTTTAACCCCGAAAAGTAAACTTTCAAACTCTGAAAATAGTGCCACCCTACTAATTCGATCATGCTCTTTCCGATGGCGTCAAAAAACACGGTCGAAAAACCTGTGCCAAGCTATATTAAGGGTTGGTCGACTCCCTCGCGAACGGCCTTTTAACCACTTTTTACCATCGCCATCGACAGAAAGAGTCGAACGACCATTTTACCACAAATTAATCCAACTCAACATGCTAATTGTGAAAAGAAAACGGTCGAAAACGCATAACAATTTTTACAAAAAATAAGGTTTTCTAACGCTAATTTTTTTGTTTTACAACATTTTGCTTTGAAAACTGGGCCGCAGATGGTTTTGACGACTCCCCATCGCTGGTCAAATGTCAAAAGCCTGTGGTGCTTTTTTTGGGCACCGGGTAGAGCATTATTATGCTTTTACTTGAGCCTTTACAGAACCGAAATACCTGCTGCGAAAACGCGCCGACCAAGATTTACGTTTGCGGCAAGGCTCTCGGCGTCTCGGGCACACATTTGCTCAAAAGCATTGAGGTTGTTAAGATCTTACTAGGGTGACCCAAAAATTCAATCCCCGGTCTAGCGGTCAGTTGAGCGGCATACCAAAAGGCCGTTGCTGAGCGCAACTTGAAAGAAAGTAGCAGAATTACGCGTGAAAAATACGTTAGTGCCCATTTAGGGTAATACCGGATTGCGTGGTCGAAAACTCGCGAAATAACGGCTTTTTCATAAAACCACTTTTCATCAAGGACGAAATGCCCATTCTCTCGCCGTCTCAGGGGCTTTCGAATGTTTTAACTTCAGTTGGGATCCTGCCTACCTCCGACCGATAGACCACGGGTTGATTTTTAGGGCACCTGTTATCGTTCATATCGGCAATCAAATCAAGCGTGGGCGTGCGTGCGTGAGTGCGTGCGTGCGTGCGTGCATGCGTGCGTGCGTGCGTGCGTGCGTGCGTGCGTGCGTGCGTGCGTGCTTGCCTGCGTGCTTGCGTGTGTACGTCCGGTGCCAATCTAAATAACGGGCGCTTCCAGCCTGGCGAGGGCCGAGCCGGCGTCGAAGCTGCAGTTTTCGTCCCGCATCGAGTCAATGTCGTGAGTCTCTTGTGGAAGGGTGGGAAACAACTTTGATTAGTTGTCGACTTCTGTCTGCGCACCACATCTGTGGCCAAAAAGTTGCTGCATCAATGTCCCCACGGTGTACGCTCAACACGGACACCTTGCGGTGACTCTCGACCATGATGACTGCAAGATGTCAATCGCCGACGACGTGTGTGTCCTTGTCAATAAGTGGGTTTCGTTGTGATCAATACCTTCGAAACAGCGAACCCATAGTAATTACCACGATTCTGGACTGTTGGCGAGGGGACCAAATTTTTGCCTGTGATTCTCCAAGGCCCGGCACACAACAAACTATAATCCATTTTTATAAAATATTACATCGCTTTTATATTTAGAAACAATTATAAAAATCAAAATTATAACAATTATATAAATTTATAAAAGAACGAAAGTAACTCTTTGGTCAAAATGTGCGAAAAATACCCAGAATAGTTCAAAATTAAAGAAATCTTTTTTATAATTAGCTAGGGATCAAAAACTGCCAAAAACACTATACAAATACATAATATGTCAGCAAAGGGCGGTATTGGTGGAAAAAAGTGGTCCCCGCTGGCCCCCCTGCTAACAGTCTAGAACCGTGAGTTTCCTCGATTCGCGGGATCAATAGCTTCGAAACAGTAAAAGACCGTATCAGTTACGACCAATTTAGGACAAAATTCGACGACAAGTGGAAGCTGTGTTTCGCCCCCCCGCCCCGCAACACGGCCCTGGTTGCAGATCTTCAAAGGGTCTTCTTGACAATTCGAGGCGTAATCGTCATGCTCCCGCAGGCCTTTAACACGAAGGTATTTCCCTCTATGTTTCCCTAATTACGATCAAATTTAGTCCGGGGAACTCACCAAGAAATGCGTCTGACGGGCCGAAACCACGACCCGCCCTGCAGTTAATTGACAGCTCGCCCATCGCTCAAGCAACGCCTTCACGCCCCCCTCATTGTGCTTCATACTCGTCACGTATTTTAATAAAGTGAACTGATTATTTTTTTGCTTACTTTCGAGAATTTTGGCTTGCACCGCTTCAACACCTTCGGCTAGGTGGCTGACGAAGAAATTTTCTGAGTGTCGCCCGGACTTTGGAAAAGCTTATTTGGAGCAGAATTTGGCGCTGATTCCGAATATGGTTATCGTTTTTGCGGGATAGCCTTCTCTTGAAAGTGATAAACGATTTTAACCTAAAGACCTTCACGAATCGAGTACCTTCGAATATAAATAAATTTGATTGTTCAATCACATTTTTACGTTTTGCGGCACTGCCAGGGAGGAAAAACGCTTAAAATTCGACTTCTGCTGCCTTTCTCTCCTTGGCGTCGGACGAGCGCCCAAATTTTATACCTTCCAAAAAACCCTGAAGAAATGAGGAAGGAAATTTCGGGCTTTTCGCATTTGTCAGAAACGGGCAATTTCAGGGGTTTTGTCTTGAAAAGTGCGGGGTTTAGGGTTTTCCGTTTAGGTTACGAGACCCATTTTATGCGCTCTCTTTTTGTTTTTGGTGTGTAAGCGTTCGGTTCGGCTGGGCTCCAGTGAATACGTTTTTAGGTGGCTTTCGGAAACGCTGTACGGGTTTTTGCCACTTTCGCATTATCGGGGGCAATTTATTCCTGTAAGCTCATAAATGTCTAGCACCGTCATAGTAAGTATTTTAATTGCTATTTTTTTACATAAATTCGCTATGCTTTAAGCGGAAAAACAAAAAGTAACCAAGAACATTTTTTGAATCGAAATTTTGGTCGAAAATCGGCCATTTTTTTAATCGAAACCTGTATTTTTGGGAATAACAACCCTTTATTGATTTATATCAGAAAAGTTGGGTCCTTAGAAAAGCTAGTTCTCCCACCGATTACCCCCCTGGTAAAGGAAAGAACCCAAGTTTTTGTTTTTAAGACATTTGCTTTGCACCTGTTTGATACGCACTGTATATCCGTATCCGTGAACCTATGCTAATTTGGGCAGATACGAATACTTTGATATCCGGATATGTATCCGTACCCGTATCCAAAATTAGCATGGCTTTCCCGGATACGGGTATGGATACGGATACAGATACGGATACTACCCGGTATCCGTCGGGGATACTTTGGATACTTCCGGTTTTTATGCAAATCACGGTATTCAGCTTGGTTTTGTATGGAAACGATCAACATTAACGCCCAGATTCACCATCACTCCTCAGCCGCATCGAAAACGGGATAAAAAGGGGTGTATCGGTAATTCTAACAAATCCCCAATGTGCCAACGCTTTAAGTTCCAAGTACATGACGCCAAGGCGAGAACCCAGACGACAGAACCACCTAAGAAAACTTCAAAAATAAAGGAAATCTTCTTGTGCACAATTGTGCTGTCCAATCGGTGGATGTAACATCGTAACTGCATAGTGCTTGTATTTAGACTTAAACGAAATATCTTGTCGTAAAGACTTGCATACAAAACACAAATGAATACCGTGATTTGCATAAAAACCGGAAGTATCCAAAGTATTCGCAACGGATACCGGGTAGTATCCGTATCTGTATCCGTATCCATACCCGTATCCGGCAAAATTCATTCTACGGATATGGATACTATCCGTATCCATTGTGGATATTATCCGTATCCAAAGAACATATGCTAATGCGGCGGGTATGGATACATACCCGTATCCGGATATTATCCGGATAGGATCCGGATACCAAATGGACCAACCCTGGTAGATACACGGTTACTAGAAAAAGATTTGTGAATGGAAGTTTTTCCTTTGGGCAGGGACCTAGGTTTATGGGGTTTCTAGAAGGGATGGAGCTAAAGAAGGATGCAATAGAAATATTTGAGGGATGACGATGAAGTTTAAATAGAAATGAAAGATCCGATTTAATGCGCCTATCGCTCAGCGATTCCAAAGAATAGGTGTTTAGTGCTGAGGGATAGGATGAATTAGGCAAGCGACAACGGTAACACATTTTTCTAAGAAAATCCTTTTACAGGTTTTCTAGGGCAACTATATCTTTTTTGAGAAAAGGGGAGTAGATAACGGACGCATACTCTACAATTGGTCTGGCATATGTAATATAGGCTTTTAGGTAAAGGGAAGGAATTCTACTTTTAAAGATACGAAAAATCAAGTAAACAACCCGAGCATCCTTCTGCACAATCTTCAGGACATGTGGAGTAAAGCGGAAGTTTGTGGAGAGCAGGACACCTAAATCTGGTATAGTTGTGGAGACAGGCAAGGCTGTTCCACATAGTGAATAATTAGCTCTAGGATTTCGTGAGCCATAATGTAGCAATGCACATTTAGAAGCTGCGATAAGTCGCTGATTATCAGCTACCCAATTCTCGAGCTTCTGGTACGTCTGGTCAGTCAAATTAGAAACTGTTGAGCGATCGAAATGGCTGACTAGCTTCAAATCGTCGGCGAATAAAAGGCCATCAGGTAGAATGTTCGCATCGTTAAGGTCATTGATAAAGATCAGAAATAGCAATGGGCCCAGTACGCTTCCTTGTGGAACCCCCGATAATACGGGGGAAGACTTGGAATAGGAGTCACCGACCCGGACGACTTGACTTCGGCCCGATAGCCAATTTTCAATCCATAGCAAAAGAGGTCCTTCAATTCCATAAGTGACTATTGGTACTTTTATTATTTTGGAGGGGGTACGGTAGGTGGTAGGAGGCAGAAATCGAAAAGTGAAATTCGCAGAAACATGCAAAAAACGCTTTTATTATTTTGGAGGGGTACGGTAGGTGGTAGGAGGCAGAAATCGAAAAGTGAAATTCGCAGAAACATGCAAAAAACGCTTTTATTATTTTGGAGGGGTACGGTAGGTGGTAGGAGGCAGAAATCGAAAAGTGAAATTCGCAGAAACATGCAAAAAACGCTTTTATTATTTTGGAGGGGTACGGTAGGTGGTAGGAGGCAGAAATCGAAAAGTGAAATTCGCAGAAACATGCAAAAAACGCTTTTATTATTTTTGCTGGGTCACAGTAGGTGGTAGGAGGCAGAAATCGAAAAGTGAAATTCGCAGAAACATGCAAAAACGCTTTTATTATTTTGGAGGGGTACGGTAGGTGGTAGGAGGCAGAAATCGAAAAGTGAAATTCGCAGAAACATGCAAAAAACGCTTTTATTATTTTGGAGGGGTACGGTAGGTGGTAGGAGGCAGAAATCGAAAAGTGAAATTCGCAGAAACATGCAAAAAACGCTTTTATTATTTTTGGAGGGGTACGGTAGGTGGTAGGAGGCAGAAATCGAAAAGTGAAATTCGCAGAAACATGCAAAAAACGCTTTTATTATTTTTGGAGGGGTACGGTAGGTGGTAGGAGGCAGAAATCGAAAAGTGAAATTCGCAGAAACATGCAAAAAACGCTTTTATTATTTTGGAGGGGTACGGTAGGTGGTAGGAGGCAGAAATCGAAAAGTGAAATTCGCAGAAACATGCAAAAAACGCTTTTATTATTTTTTGAGGGGTACGGTAGGTGGTAGGAGGCAGAAATCGAAAAGTGAAATTCGCAGAAACATGCAAAAAACGCTTTTATTATTTTGGAGGGGTACGGTAGGTGGTAGGAGGCAGAAATCGAAAAGTGAAATTCGCAGAAACATGCAAAAAACGCTTTTATTATTTTTGGAGGGGTACGGTAGGTGGTAGGAGGCAGAAATCGAAAAGTGAAATTCGCAGAAACATGCAAAAAACGCTTTTATTATTTTTGGTGGGTTACGGTAGGTGGTAGGAGGCAGAAATCGAAAAGTGAAATTCGCAGAAACATGCAAAAAACGCTTTTATTATTTTGAGGGGTACGGTAGGTGGTAGGAGGCAGAAATCGAAAAGTGAAATTCGCAGAAACATGCAAAAAACGCTTTTATTATTTTGGAGGGGTACGGTAGGTGGTAGGAGGCAGAAATCGAAAAGTGAAATTCGCAGAAACATGCAAAAAACGCTTTTATTATTTTTGGTGGGGTACGGTAGGTGGTAGGAGGCAGAAATCGAAAAGTGAAATTCGCAGAAACATGCAAAAAACGCTTTTATTATTTTTGCGGGGTACGGTAGGTGGTAGGAGGCAGAAATCGAAAAGTGAAATTCGCAGAAACATGCAAAAAACGCTTTTATTATTTTGGAGGGGTACGGTAGGTGGTAGGAGGCAGAAATCGAAAAGTGAAATTCGCAGAAACATGCAAAAAACGCTTTTATTATTTTTGCGGGGTCACGGTAGGTGGTAGGAGGCAGAAATCGAAAAGTGAAATTCGCAGAAACATGCAAAAAACGCTTTTATTATTTTTGCGGGGTCACAGTAGGTGGTAGGAGGCAGAAATCGAAAAGTGAAATTCGCAGAAACATGCAAAAAACGCTTTTATTATTTTGGAGGGGTACGGTAGGTGGTAGGAGGCAGAAATCGAAAAGTGAAATTCGCAGAAACATGCAAAAAACGCTTTTATTATTTTGGAGGGGTACGGTAGGTGGTAGGAGGCAGAAATCGAAAAGTGAAATTCGCAGAAACATGCAAAAAACGCTTTTATTATTTTGGAGGGGTACGGTAGGTGGTAGGAGGCAGAAATCGAAAAGTGAAATTCGCAGAAACATGCAAAAAACGCTTTTATTATTTTGGAGGGGTACGGTAGGTGGTAGGAGGCAGAAATCGAAAAGTGAAATTCGCAGAAACATGCAAAAAACGCTTTTATTATTTTTGCGGGGTCACGGTAGGTGGTAGGAGGCAGAAATCGAAAAGTGAAATTCGCAGAAACATGCAAAAAACGCTTTTATTATTTTTGCTGGGTCACGGTAGGTGGTAGGAGGCAGAAATCGAAAAGTGAAATTCGCAGAAACATGCAAAAAACGCTTTTATTATTTTGGAGGGGTACGGTAGGTGGTAGGAGGCAGAAATCGA